TGACGCTCTGGAGCTATTTAAATACGATCGATCATAAAAGATCATAAGGATCACTTTTTCCAAGATCTACTATTTTTGACTTAAAACCCAATTGAGGACTTTCAAGTCCTTCGAAATTCTCATTTGGTCAGTGCATGGAACGATGATCTGTGCGGACGGCCGAAAACATTCCAGCTCCAAATGTCTTTTATGCAATATCTGCTAGTGAAGGCAGAGAAAAATAAAGATCTTCAGTCTGTTGAAAATATAAGGCGCAGACCAGGATCTGGCTTCAATTGGCATTATTATCGATCGTGGAGGATCCGCCTGACTGAACGTACTGAGCCAGATGTGATAATTTTGAATTTTGAATAAATAAAATTCAGTCTGCAGACCACCTGATTTGATTATTTGATTAGATAAACAATTTTAATGTAACCCAATGCACCACCGAGAGCGGGTATATAAGAATTGACTAAAACAGCACCAAAAAAAAGCCAACAAACGGAACGGAACAATAGCGGTCGGCAAGAGTATTGTATATGCTTATGTGTGCTTGTGTGTGTTTGGCAGCCGGCAGAAAGGAGAGAAAGCAAACAAAACCTTTTATGTAATTTCCTTTTGGTTAAACTTTATCACAATAAAACTTCTCTGCGCACGACAAATATATGTACATGCATACATAAGCATAGACAGAACATACATACATGCATGTATGTATGTATGTATATATTCAAGCAGACAGTGAGATGCTTAATGCAATAACTACGACTCCTGGATGTGCTAGAAGAAGCCATATAGCAGACACAAGCGAACAAACAAAATAAAAATACCTACACCTATATGTATCCACACACACACACACACACACACACACAAACATGCGCGCATAGAGACGCTTACAAAATAACGTGCAAACTTTGAAGTGGAATATTTTTGTTTACTCTTTCACTGTCACCATAGCGCATAAGCACTTACACGTACATACATATATGTGTAGGAGTGTCTCTCAGGCAAGCGGCCTCCTGTGCGTTGGCGGCCACTTTGTGGCGCTTTTGCCATATGCCGTTGTTAGGCTGACTGGCTTTTTGTTGTATTGTAGTTGCATATTTAAAAATATACGAGTATATACGTTCGGATAGATTGTATGTGTGGGTGCGTGTGTGTGTTTACCTTGGTCGGTATATATTCCTATCTATAAAGTTGCATAAATTTGTGCAGTTTTTGTTGTTATTTTTATGTTTGCTATATGCATATTGTACGAACGTAAAACGCTGCAATTCGTCTAAGCGTCGTTTCACCTACAAACACACATACAAACACACATTCACACACACATTGGCGCACGTATTTATTTTCTGTGCCACATTTAATATCAGCCGAATACAAAACTGCGAATTCCAAATGAGTTCTCAGTGCGTTGAGTGCGCCACTGACGTATTGATTAGAATCCATTGATAAAAGATAGTTCACTCCCTTCACACGCATACTGTCATACGAACAAGTAGGGAAGAGCTAAATACTATGCTCAGTAGGTCGCCAAGTTTGCCACCCCCGCCCCCCCCTTGCCATACAAATCAATAGCTCTCGCTTTACTCAAACGCCACACCAGCTGCCTACCTATCATCTGACCACACAACCATTTCCAGTTTTGCTACAAACGCTTGCTCTTGATCTGCTGTTTGTTGTCTGTTGTCTGTTTGTTAGTCACCCTTCGTCCCTCTGTTTTGCTACACTTTACACCAGCTGGCTGTCTAACTATCTGGTCGAACATTTACTCGTCGCCAAGCCGCCTTCCATCGGCCACAAGTCACCACCTACGTGTGTGCACACTCGTATGTAGATAGGTATTTACATATATGGGGCATCTGTAGTTTCTGTTGGCCCAACATGGCGTATGAGTAATTAACATTTGCTGCAGGCCATTGTGAAAATTTATGCTATTGTCCTGCCGTATATACGCTTGCCGCAAAGCATAAATACGTATGCATTTGTATGTGCATACGTGTGTGCTTGTAGTTAAATACCTGCGTACATATGTGAGTGTGTATGAATGTTGGCTTGTAGGCTTGTAGGCTTGTAAGCTCAAGCGTTCCAACTACTATTGTTTATAAGTACATATAGACGGCAATTAATTTGTTTGTCTCCTTTTGTCTCTGACCATGCATAACTACATGCCTATATAGTGTGTGTATGTGTTTGTATGTGTTTGTATATGTGTTTACTAGTGCACGCGCTCATCTATTTGTGTGCATTGTCTGCGGCTCACTGTTTGGTTAGATGGTCAGGCGGCTAGTGCAGGTGATATATACATATAATGGATATACATATTAGGGTGATCAATATTGCATTTCTGATATAAGATATAAGCGTTACACAAAAACCAATCAGTCAATTAGAGGTGGCTTAGAATAGACTTCAGATCTCTCCAATAATTTCCAAAACATCAACAGCAGAAAGAGCCCGACCGCAGCGCCATCTACCGACTGTTTTTTGTACTAAACCTTATGTGAGTTTTGGTCTTTTCAATTTGTCAAATATTCCATAGAAGGCTTGAGGTTTATGAAATGGAAAGTTTAGGTTCGAAGGAAATTTAGAATGGAAATAGAATGCACTATATTCGGATGATGAAAATCACTTTTCAACCAGTTTGTGAATCAATTTGTGCAGCAAGTTCTTGAAACCGGTTCGATATCGGACAGGACAGCTCGGTTCAGTGCGTTTAGAGGATAATGTAGCTCTAACAGCCATCAACATCGACACGACACGACACATTCGTAGCAACATTCTGCACAAAGATCTCGGTATGAAGGCTTACAAAGTCCAATTGGTCTTAGAACGGAGACCGCATGACATTCCAATGGGCTCAAAGTATTTTCACCTGAAGATCATACCTTGCGATGCAGCTTATTTTCCTCCGTCTGCATTAACCGGCAAAGCAACGCATTCGGTACTCAGAAAATCTAGAAAAACCATGAGATTTTAAACAAGTGACTGCTTGGTGCGACATATGGACGGTCGGCATCACAGATCCCTTTTTTCTTTGAAATGGTAGAACCTCACTCCGTTGGCCTATTTGCTATGCCGTTTGGAAATGATTCCTGACTGACGAACGAAACTGCAGCCGCTATTATAACCTTACAGAACCAAGCAATCGAAAATATGTTAAAATATTTGGTCGAGGAACAATAAAGAATGGGCTACTGCAAAGCCAGCAGCAGCTGTCTTGTAAAATAAGTGGATTTTCAGCATTACTCGGAATGCTGAGACATTTTAATAACCTCTAATTTTATATATATGTGTATATATATAAGCAACAATGAAACCGAAATTCGGTGTTCAACTCAAACATTCAACGAAAAAGGATTTTTTACTTTCAAATTTCCAACTCAGTTCAATATATCATTTTATGGCAAGAGTGAGGTTATGTTGGATTTAAAATACTAATATTATTATTGGTATTAATGCTGGTTCGTAAACTTCACTGTTATGACGGTTAACAATGCCGATGGAGCCAAGAAACTTGGGCTAGCCGTGCGTCCAAAGCCAACACCACCAATATCATCGACATACAACAACCAGATAGATAATAGTTGCACCTCTGTTTAACTCTGCTGTTCTTATCATTTTCTTCAGCAATAAATTAAAAAAGTAACAAGATAGAAATTCGTCCTATCTAAAATCTCGTTTGATGTCGAACAGCTATATCTGCCTGCACTTCTGGTATTATCCAGCAACAGTGCTGCCGGAGGTGGCATTAAGGTCGACCATCGATTTTCTTTTCATCGGTATTTTAAAGTGTTTCGCTTGGTAAATATCGGCTCGTGGGTTGATATATCTGGTCTGAAGTTTCGCTGATAAGGTCCATTCAGTTCGTAGATGGTCATTAACGAATGGTTCTCGAACATTCGTAGTCTTTGTATGGATTGATTGACAGATGGCTTAACATAATTGGTTGCTGAATGAATGGCTGTGGATGTTGACACAACAAGATTATTCGTTCAGATTGTGGGTTCCCTACGTTTGCGAATTGAACAGGACATATTTGGGCTTCAATAGTCAGACATGCTTGCGTCTAACTATTTGAACGCTACTTGAACTCCATCAAATTCGCGTATTTCCATCCTCCTAAGCTGGGTGTATGGGTTAGTCATCTATTATGCTCTGGACACCGGTCACCAGACTACCTTCTTAATAGTAAATTAGTTGAGTTGGTTTTCGGGGAATATTTCTGGGTTGATAGTCCTTAAACATCCGAGTTGTTCCGGTCTAAAGACCCACCTGTCGCGAGAACTATCCGATTTCAGCTGCCTCCTACGAAATGCATGACTCACCGCGTGCAAATTCCTCAGCCACTAATCCACGGAAGTATCTCCCACATGATTATGCCATTGTCTTGAAACCTTCTCGGGGACTTACCCACAGCCTTTCACAAAATTTTCAAACCTCACCTATGTTGGCCAACAACTCAAACACTTCTCACTCATGACTTTCCTTTCCTTTGCAAAAGCGTATTTTCTTCCCTCTTCAACTCACGATATTTATCCCAACAACCAAATGTTGTGGTCGGTCACAACGTTGTGTATACCTCGTTGTAAATTCGAAATGAATTGTCTCCACTATCTTTGATGAATTTCAAAAAATAATATAAATAATATCGCACACCCTAGCACACATACATACGTATGTACATACTTAAGTATGTGGCACATGCATAACTTTTTGAATTTCTGTTTTCGTAGCTCGATGAAATGTTGCCAAATGCATAGTCACTAACTGGAAATGCCGCTTGCCACATGCCACCTGCCACATGCCACAACACTAACAAACAGTCCAGCCAGCGCAGCAACCAACGAGTCAGCCAGCGCAGCAACCAACCAACCAGCTGTACAACAATGGCAATTTTAATTATTTTTGTCGCACTTATAATTATGAATTTCTCTGCAAGTTTACCTGCATTAATCATACACAAGCATACACACATACATCTGTACATAGGGACATTTTTAGTGCAAACTTACCTTCGGAAAGAGCAATTTTGTATTATACACGTATATGACATATGTATTGTTTCGATTTTTCAAGATACATCCTTTTGTTTGAGTGTTGTTTTTTTTTATCGTAATATTTATATTTGTATTTTTTTTTTCTTTTCTTATGCTCAAGGTCTTCTTTTGGATTTCACGTAAACATTATTTGTTATTTATGTTATTTAAGAAAATTGTATTATTATTTTGTTTCACATCTTTGTAGATTTGCATATTTATACGCGTGTATGTACGTATGTGCATATGTATGCCTTTACTTTACATATATATGTGTTTTTGGCCCACTTCACTGCCATATTTTGCCTTTTGATCTACATACTCGTATTTCCGCTTTGTGCACACTTACGCCCTATAAACAGTGGTAGATGTACAGCTATGTTATTGTATTTACTGGAATACATAAGTATATTTGTTGTATGTATGTACGTTCGCTAATAATATATCATTTCTAACCGTCATATATTGTAATGGCGTGTGATTTATTTAATTTTATATCAAATTTTTTTTTTATTTTTTTTTCATTTTATTTACGTAAAAACTGTTTCCTATTTTTTATCTTCTAAGAGAGATCGTGTAAGCAAAAGGAAAGGATAAAACTATGCTGCGTGTGTTCTCAAACCTTGCAGAGGAGGCTGGCGGTGACCCTCTCACCTTTAAAAATCATTTTAGATTTCAAATAGAGAGTCCTCATCCCTATATAAAGGGTGATTTTTTAGCTATTATCTCTTTGGATACAGCTGACGCACGATTCGTGTTTTGTATTACTGTCAAACATCTTCAGTGCGGTCAATTATTTAACCAGGAATCGTTTTACCAACGAAAAACGCTTGCAAATTATTAAATATCATTATCAAAATGCGTGCTCTGTTAAGAAAGTTAAGTGCGTAAATAAGCAGAATTTGGACTGAAGATCAGCCAGAAGCATTGCAAGAGGTACCAATACAGCCAGAAAACGTGACAATTTGGTGCGGCTTACGGGTTGGTGGCATCATTGGACGGCACTTCTTCAAAGATGATGCCAATCGTAACGTAACAGTGAATGGTGAGCGCTACCGTGAGGGGATATCAAACTTTTTGTTTGCCCAAAATTCAAGAGCTTGACTTGCATGACATGCGGTTTCAACAAGACGGTGCCACATGCCACACAGCACACGTAACAATGGACTTATAGAGAGGCGAGCTCGGTGAACATTTTCGGCACCGGTCAATCAGCCGGAAACATTTGAATTTCCATCTGCGAATCGCTGCTGAATCCAAATAAAATCGACCCGTTTCTGAAGCGGATTGAGACTGGCGACGAAAAATGGGTCGCTTACGACAACATCGAGCGCAAACGATCGTGGTCAAAGTTCGGGGAAGAGGATCAGATGGTGTTCAAGACCGGATTGATGGTCAGGAAGGTTTTTCTGTGTGTTTGGTGGGATTAGCAAGGAATCTTCTACTACGAGCTGCTCCCCTATGGCCAAACGCTCAATTCGGTGCTCTACTGCCAACAAATGGACCGCTTGAAGGCAGCATTCAGCCAGAAGAGGTCATCTTTGATCAACAGATACCGAATTGTGTTCCATCAGGACAATGCCAGGCCACACACGCCTTTGGTGAAGCACCAGAAGCTCCAGGAGCTCCGATGGGATGTCCTGATGTACCCACTTTATAGTCCGGACCGGGTACCAAGTGATTACCATATTTTCCTGTCCATGGCGAACGCGCTTAATGGTGAGAAGTTGACCTCAAGAGTTGTCAAATCGGACAAAGTCACACAAAGATATCATATTTTGGAAAATTAATAAAAAAAAAACCGAACGAACTTCTTACTTGACCTAATATAAGGGTGTTTTTTTCAATGCCAGAAATTAGCATTATCATTTAGCAAAAGAGTTGTCATTATGTTTTAAAAATATCTTTCCCCACCGGCTCGAATTAATTCCAACTGAGGTGCCGAAATTTCATGACCCGAGATAATGCGCGCACCAAAAGTTTCCTAAAATAAATTTATTCTTTCGTGGCCTGTGTGGAATGCAACGCCGTCTCGTCGGTACCAAAGGTCGTCCTCATCAACAATCCCCAATTCGGGCACAAAAAAGTCATTAATCCTGCTTCTTATGCGTTCAACATTGACTGTAAAATTGTTGCTTGGTAAATTTTTAAAAAAATTGGACCAAGGATTCTCTACGCTCAACCAATGACTTTCCGAGGTTTTAATGGCGTCTCAATGGATGGTGGATTATCATCACTTCAAATGCGACCATTGGTTGGTTAGTTAGTTAGATCACGCAACTCTGATCAAGCGCACTTAGGCCTACTGGTCCGTTTATGATACCTATATTAGTTCTGCTAAGGAGTTTCCTTGCATCTTTCCAAATTCTCAAATCTCTTGGTATGTTTTACGATATTTAGGAGTTTTCGAGAAAAAATTAACGGACCGCACTGAAAGATGGGCATTGAAAGAGGTTGTGATCTCCCGACTCCTTCTCATTCATGTCCCTGCAGCTGCAGTGTCCGGTTAGTAAGCCGGTTGGTGCGATTTAGGAGGAGTAGAGGCTTATTTCTGTTTACCTCGATTAATGGCTAAATTTACCCTGTCGCATTGCACATGGCTTCGGTCTGCCATCTTCTATTGGCCATTCTGGCGAAGGTTAGGCCTAGCGGCTACTTTAACTACGCATGCAGACTTTACCGTGGTTAGGTCACTTCCCTCTCTGACTAGTTCATCGGCTTAGCAGCTCTTTGAATGTCCCTACGTCCAGCATAAGAGAGACTTAATAGTAGCAGCCTTGCTGTGAGAATCTATTGTGGTAGGTTGGGTAAACGTATTAAAAATGAGCAAACATGAAGCATCATCCGTTATCGCTTTTAGTTCCGCTTGGAAGTCGCTGCAGTATTCGGGAAGTCCTTTACTTAATTATATGGCAAGAGGTTAAGAGAACCATCGATGAAGCTAGCTACAGATCAACGATTCAGCACTGCTGCATATATCCTCTCTGAGATTTTTGTTGAGAAAGTGTTGTTGCAACAAAAAACGGAAGTCCACTTCTCTACACATCTATCCCAAAATTTCCTATTTGTAGCTCGTTCTGCTTTAAGTTTGGTACCAAAGTAGCTTTTTGCCTAAGTTAACCGAAGGTGGTGCACCTGGGTTCGTTCTCTCTCAAAAAAGAGATTTACTTAAATTTTGGTATCATACTTAGTAGTTTTCTGTTTAGATTATCACGAACATAACCGGAAAGCGGACCAGGGATCGAGCTAGCGATTTTCGGCCAAGCACACCACCAATTTATGATTTCTTCAAAAGAAGAGTACGGTAAGGATTGTCATTGTTAGAGGAAAAAGACTGCGATTGACCGCAATCCGAAAGATATGTGAGAGATATCGAGAGTTGAAGAGAATAGCGAAACGCATACGGAGACAGAAAAAGCAACAGACTTTAATGTGTGAGTATAAAAGGGTTGCGTAGGAGATGGCCAAAAGAGAAAAGAAAGGAAATGCTTAAAAAATGTCCGAAGAAATGTAGAATATTTCAGAAGATTTCAAGACCGGCGATTTTTCGCTTAAGAACGGGTAAAAAGATCTGGCAGCTGATATTCAGAGTACATTGTGTGTAAGGAAGGAATACTGTTCGAGCCAGCGTAATTGTAGTAACAGCAGCTGCAGTTTTGATTTATTTATGAGATTTTATTTGTACTAATTTTTTACTTTCACTTTCGAAAGGTCTATTATGGGTTGCCATTTTAGTCTGCTAAGTTTCAAACACAGTTTAACGAATGAAGAAACAGCGCTATGCTGACTAGGTCATGACTAGATCAGACCCACCTAGTATATTTCTGACATAGAATAAAAGCTCCTCATAGAAATCCATCAGCAGCTAAGACACACATCACAAAAACTTGACCAGTGTAGCATATAAATATTTTAAAAAAAATTTTAATTTCTCTAGCTACGTTACCATACACAAACCATCGTGATAGCGGTTCTAGAATTTCGGCACAGTAAGGCATGCCTGTCGTTAGAGAGGATTATAATCCGAAAGCTCCCATGACAGTGGAGTCTTTATATTGCAAGCATTCGGAGCTTTATTCGACCAAGGGCTACCACAGAAACCACTTTGGAACCACAACAACAACACACATTTGATCTGCCATGAGCATTTCTGGCATGAAAATAATAATTTTATTTAAAATTGCAAAGCACTTTGAATTTGTAGACCAAACAAAAATTAGGTACAAAAAATCATTCTGCTCTACGCAAATTCACATTAACTAGTAATGAACTAGTATAAATTTGTATATTAAATACCAGTTCATAAAGATCTTTCACTTAAGAATACTATGCAAGGTGAAGCCGGTGCTGGTCCGGACCAGGTTTCTTATTTTTAAATGCTGCCGAAGGCCTTCAACTTTCAAAAGGTGTTTCACTTAAGAATGACACCAAAAATCGTAATTTACGCAAGTTCATATTAACTAGTAATGAACTAGTATAAATTTGCATATTAAATACTAGTTTATGGACTATTATTTCACTACCAGTTCTACCTTGAACTTCAAATAAATGAAGCAACTTCTTACTGTGAGTGGCGGGAAAAAACTGGACTATTTTCAAATATTTTAAATTTCATTTAAAACATTTTTTACCAGAGAGTTTTTTTCACTTTGTTACCAACTTCATGCGCATTAACATATTTTTACTTTTCCATACTTTCCCACTTTTTATTAAATTTTTTTACAACTCTCTAGTATCATTTGGTCACATTGTCTCGGCAACAGTGCAGAAAGTCTATGGTGGCGGGCAGCAGTGAAACTGTAGTATGTATAGAGTAGATATGTAAATTATGTACGATCATATCTAAAACAAATCTCGGAAAACTCGCGGCTGTGGAGCTCAGATAGCTTAAGGATGTCTTTGAAATAGCTATCAAGGCGCGTTTACATCCTACATGATGGCTGCTTCATCTCAAATTAAATGAAACCTTCAACAAGAACCGTAAACAAGCAATAGGTGCATGTCTTTTGGGGCAGCCAGAGGGGCTGTAAGCTGCCCTCATTAAGTTATGAATATAACAACAGAAAGACTTTGCAACTAAAAAACAAACAAAAATATTCTATTATTTAATACTATATTTTTCTCAATACTTTTAAGCACTTGTCTGTGCAGCTGTAAATGCATTGTCTTAAAATATGCTGCGCTTGCT